GTGCATACATTCGATTCGGGGGAAAACGAGGGGCGGCGAACGAACGAAAGAACGAAACGCGCGACGTCGAGAAGGGGGGAAAAAAAAAGGAAAAGTCGCGTTGGAAAAATTATACGACCGTGATGGGTGCTCTCGTGCAACGGAGATTTAAAAAAAACGAAAAAGGTTTCAAGAAGGTCTCCCGGTAATGGAATCCTTTTTCTCGCGGAAGTTTCACCCGCGATTCCTTGCTTCGAGTAACTCGACCTTGACGCGGTAAAAAGAGACGAATTTCCCTTATTACAATCCTAATTTTTAATAAAAAAAAATACGAAATTGTTGTGCTTTGAAATGACGGATGTTATTTGGGAATAGAAATATTCGTAAAAGCGAAAAATGTGCACGAGGTATCTGGTTAATTTATTCTCTGAGAATTGTATTTCGTAATTTTAAACCCTTGCGCGGGAAATTGATTCGCGGCTTGAAATTAAGAAACACGGGTTTCGCGACAGAAATTTATGTGTAAAGTTTGGAGAGGACTTGTGAAATAAATTTTTGTAAATTTTTTATAAAATGTGGAACTTCAAAGCAACGTGAAGCGAGTAATAGATTAATGGTGGACTCAATGGCCTTATTAATGATGAAATGTCTAGACTGAAACGCCATTTTCCACTAGAAAGCATTATTTTCTGAAAAGAAAACTTGCACCAACGCCAGTAGCTACGAACCTTTAGTTTAATTCATAATTTCACATGCTCGAGTCAATATATGTGTAATGAGTTCGTTACATAAAGCATCGTCTGTAAAATTAATTAATTTCGATTGATTAAAGGCAATTTGGAAACACGTAACCCCAGCGTAAGATTTAAGGGGGTTAAAACAGAGAATTACGTGAAATATGAAGTATTAATTCAATTAAGTCGATGAGTTATTAACTAAATAATGAGGCTAGTGTCCTTGATGGGCCTCGCGCTGTCGTCTAAGGGTTAACAGGCGAAAATGAATGGCGAAACATGTAATTACAACACGACTGAGTCTCAGTTATAAATGTTATCACGATGCAATGATTAATACAAGAAAAATAAATTTTTTAAATTAGTATCGTCCTAGATACACAAAGTGTTACAAGTATTTCTGGCAATGTTAAAAGGCTATAACTATCTTGGGGGTGGTTTTTCCAAGTGAACTTAGTCGGAAAAGAAATTCTTTTTAAAAGGAGGTGTAACTAAAAATACTGTTATAAAACCTTACCGCGTTAAATATATACGATGCTTATGAACATCGTAAGAAAACGCAGAAAGTTAAGACTTATCACGAGAACGAATAGCAAACGACTTTAAAAAGAAAGTTTATCCAAGTGTATGGAAACTTTCTTGACCCAGTGAATGCGTAGCGCGATTATCGCATATGTTATGATCATACGAACAAACGAAATAGGAACTATAGGCCAGTTTCACGTTGTGTCACAACCGTTCACAATATTTTGTTAAATAAAATTATTACAAAGACCCAGCAATATTCATTCGATTAACTTACAAATTTGTATATCTTGTTCCTCGTAACATTATCTGTAATATTTAAAGTTTAAAATTTTTCAAACTAATGAAAAAGTCGTAAACTACATTCTGGATACTTTCACGACGAATAATGTATACTTTGAAGTTAGTTGCAGGACGAGAACTGATACACAATGTTCTACAACTCCACCATTTTGAAATATCGCTTAATACGAGCTAAACAAATCTGCGTATTCTACTCGATAGTAACCTCCAAAAAATAATATAAAATTTACCAATTTTTAAGACAACCAGATGCAATATTTTCTCTTGCATCTTAGCGATCAAATTACAATTTTTACCATTTTATATTTGAAACAAAATTATATTTGAAACAACGTAACAATATTTTCGCTACGTCCGCCAAGGACGTTGCTTCTTATAAACACGGTATAAATATGAAAATTATATTTCTATACTTCCAACAACGCCCTGTGGGCGATACGATTGATATGGATCCCCACGCCAACCACCCCCGGTCGCGACGTTAAAAATTCATTAATACGAGGCACGAGTAATTGTTTCCTCTGTCATTCAAGTTAACGCAAACTATGTATAATTCATGCGGGCTTAAATAGTTTTGATTCCGAACGAAATTCGATCGATGAGCTCTCTCATTTAAAATTTAAATATGTGACTTAAAGGGGAAGAATTAAAGAGCGCGACTCCGTGCCACGGATACCGGGCGATGTTGCGCACAGAATTCGGAACTTTTTTCTCCCGCATAGTTTCCGCGCCGCCAAAACGAAACGAAATCCAGAAACGATCGAACCAACGAAACGCTTTGCGGAAAAAGTTTCGCGCTGTTAAACCCTTCGTTGCCATCGTTTTCGAACCAAGGCCAGTTTCGAACAATTTTTATTGCCGCCGCGGGTCTTCCGTTTCTAAATTATTAGCGTCCTCACGGTTTTACGATACAACGATAAGCTAAATACATGTATAATTTCAACGCTAGGTTGTCGTTTAAAATATTTTATAGCAAAATTTCAATTTCATGCAAACTTGCGTGTGTCGAGTATTGGCTGGAGCATCTATATTTTTATGTTTCACGAACTATGTTAAACGCGTTCAGCTACCATTTTAACTACTGAAAAAGAGTTTCATTTGGATGAACTTTTATGTAGTTATGTGCTAATACAACATACGTTAAGTCAAATTTAACGCGTTATCGCTTGTATCGCGCTTGGTACTTGGAAAATATTAATGTGATAGTTAATTAGAAATCCAATGCCTATTACCGGGCGACGATACAAAGTTACAGTGTTGTAGTATCTTGGTCGGATTTATGTTCGAATGCAATATCATATAATTCAGTAATTGAACGCCAGGGAGTTGGGTAGTACAAAATGGGCAAGATTATTATCGTCGTGTTGGCTACAGAAAGCCCTTCTACGCGAGCGATTGCTACGATGGTTCGATTTAACCAATCAATCGTGTTATGGTTAGTAAAATATGCGTAAACCGTCAGAAATTTGGTCAGGATCAGAGGAAAGGACTTGGAAAAAATTATCTACAAAATAGAGAATTAAAATTGATACTGATATTTCGGCACGAACGTTCAGGTCTTCGAACAAAAACTTATTTATGAAACCAACTGGACCGAATAAATAGGAAAAGAAGGAACATCTTTCGACAAATTGAAATTTAATATTAGACGAAACAATGGCAAAATTTTTGTTTGACATCCTAAAGTCGATAGTAAAAACCAAAAAGTTTGAGTATTCATTTCTGATAAAGGAGTTTGTCTTTGATAGACAATACCACTAAATATTAAAGGCAATGAGATACGTTTTTAAACCCAATTTTATTTTTACGATGAAATTCGTTTATGAATATTTATTAAGTATTCGATATTTAATCCCAGATAAAAATTTTTTTTTTATCGAGAGTCGTATTTCCAATTCGAGATGGTTGGACGAGCAGCCTGAATCCGAATTCGATAGAAAACTGTTGGAAATAATTGGAAATGGCCAAAAAAAAAACACACACACACACAGAGCTACAAATCTCTGCGAAAATAATTAAAACATTAATATTTTTCACGCCTAAGAGATGCAAATATAAAAAAGTTTTGTTTTTAATAAATAAAATATTTAATCCCCTATAATCCAAAGTATTTTCTGAACATTTTAAAAACAAAGGAGACGAGTTTTATCGCAAAAGAAAGTATTTAAATTACATAAAAAATGGCACATACGACAGTTCTTTTTATATGTATATAAAATTGACTGTATTTAATATCCTTATAAAGAAACGCAAACGATCTTATCAGACGACCTAATAAAAATTTCTATTTTGCGAATTCAATGCATTCGCGGCAAAACAGACCTACTTAAAATATAGATACAAAGTTCGACGCTTAAACGGCGTGTCTTAAAAATTATACGGTGGTTTTTGTCGTGCCTCAGGACGCGGCGAACTTCTGGTTTCTTTTATCGTCTTAATTAATCTAACGGCGCTCAGAACGTGGCACACACCGCGAGGTATCCGATTGCCGACGGAAACTTTTATTAGAGCACGTTATCGTATCGCGAAAGTCTGTTCCGCGTCGAAGATATTCCTTCCGATTGTTGCGTTTCCAATACCGACGAAAAACGAAGCGAAAAAAATAAAAGGAAAGGCTCGCGTTGTAGATATAACGTGAGAGAAAAAAAAAAAATGAAAAACGCTTGGTCGTTTTTGCCCGTGTACCTGTCGCCATTTATCGAACTCGTTTCCCCGCACAAACGCATTCGCGAACGGGGAAACCCCTTTCTTCGCGAATCGACCTGCGCTTCCGTCGACGGTTCGTCGATCGACCGTAACCGAAAATCGGATTCTGCAACGATGTCAGGGATGGTTACAGGATGATTGCATCGGACACTTTAAACGTATATAAACTATATTATTTAATACCCTGACAGAAAGTTTCCGATCATACACGTCAATATATACTTTACGAAAAACTGCCGTGTTTTATAATTATACAACGTTACTGTATATAATTAAGACCGTTGGGAAATGTAAGAGAGTTTTTAGGAAGTAATTAGTTACAAAATAACTATCTGATACAAAGTACATAGAAGACATAAGCGACTTCTCTCGACGAAAGTTCATACGCATTTGATCTTAGCCTAAACACTTCCATCATCGACACAAACAGTTTCCTTCCCGTGTCAACGTTCCTCAGCTGAGACATGTACACTGATATACATTTATTATGATCGACGACGAAAGCTTGCCGATGTCACCGATCGCGAAGAGGAACGCAAAGTTCCGGAAGTTCAAATCGCGAACGTTTCCATCGACTGCCAACCGAGGGTAGTGGTAAGCGTTCGCGACGTCGTTTTTCTCTCGTTCGCGCGAACATCAAGGGAAATGATCGAGCTACGATCGAGCGGGACCCGGGACGCAGGAATAAATAATTCACGTCCGGGATCGGCTGGTCCGTCAAAGGTAAAAGCAAGTAACGACGGAAGTACTTACCGGAGATGGTATCCGCGTTATCGAGCTTCCTGTCTAAGGAGACGTTCTCGTGAGCCGCTTCCTTGCTCGTCCTTGGACGACATCCAGAGTTCGATTCACCGGTACCGATCCCCTCCTGGCCCTTGTGATCGTTCCTCGGATGATCGTTTCTCTCGTTCGACTTGGAACCACCGCCGCCGACGCCGACCTTCGACGATGTTTTGCTAACGATACCGCCGGCGTTTCCGTTCAGATTGGCGTTCACGTTCACGTTCACGTTCACGTTCCCGTTACCGTTCGCTGACCCGTGATTGTCGGCCTGGTGAAACAGACAGGACGTCTTCCGTGGGACCTTGTCGTTCTAACGTCACAAAGAAACGTTAAACAAAGGTATTACTCTTCCGCGAGAGGAAGCCACGGCGCGTTTACATCTGCGTTTCAGTCCCAATTGTTTCGCTCAGTTTCAATATGGCCGCTGTCGATCTTCGACCAATGAGACTGCATCAGGAATGATAATGTAAACACTACGTGTCTTCTTCTCGTGGAAGGACAGCACGTTCAACGCGTTGATTTCTTAGTAATTACGGGGGATCGGTTTAGGCCTCTTTTTTAGTGTAATGAAATACGTATGAAATATTCCTAATTGAGATTGACACAAACCGTACAGTATAGTAAATATTTTGAAATTTTCTTATGTATCGCGTGAGGAGAATATGTGCGAATATGTACAAAATTGCATTTAAATTAAATAATACATTCAATCTTTGTCTTATATTTTCAGTGTAGTAATAGATAGTAATAAAACGAAAAATGAGCAAGTTCAAACGTGAACTGCAAAGACGACCTTTGCTGGTCGAGCCCTGACCCAGACCAAACCGTGATCGTCTCCCTAAAAACACGCCCGCTGGGAATTCTCCAATACGCGTGACGTAATGAAAATCACCCACGGGAGAATTTGATTCGGGCGCCCGTCCGCAAACAGCCACAACGAATTAATCGACTCACCGTGGTGGTCATGCAGGTCGACGATGACGAGCGCACGACGACGATACGATTCTGATTGTGATCATTGGAGGCAATCGTGGACACGGCAGCGTGATTGGCGAGACCGTGTGTCTCGTGGCCGTTATTGGACCCGGCATTGGAATTGGTGTTCCCGGTAGTGACGTTACCGCCTAGGGAAGTCTGCCTGATCACCAGAACGCTGCCAGCCGGCTCCAGCACGACCACTTGCCTCATCCTCGTCGCGTGTCCTTTCGTTCTTCCCTGCCGCTGTTACTGACGAAGAAGGAGAACGTGCACAGGTTGCACGAAAGCTCCCTCGAAAACGATCCTCCTTCTTCAGCTGATCCAAGTATCCGACGGGAAATGCGTTCTCCAGCCTCCACCCCTTGGCTCTTAAAGCTCCAGCGCGATTGCTACCACCTGCTCCTCCTGTACACACGTACACCAAGATACCCCCCACCCCTCGATATTAAAGCTGTCGTCTTAAAGGATGATCCTACCTCCATCCTATTCCGCGACGCGGCCTTCTCTCTCTCTTACGAACGTGTCACCCGGAACGTGTACCAACGTGGCTTCTCTCGAAAGGCAAATCGATAAGGATTATTTTTGCCGACCGTCTCTGTGTGACTACCTTCGGAACCGATCGTCTTTTTCGCGGACTACGTTTCACGGCTACTCGCGACGGCCGCTTCGCGTTTCAAACCATTCCCGTCTCGTGAAACTTCTAAACGTACTACCAGAGGAGAGCATTTATTTTTACCAAATTTTATTTATTTCTGTTGCTTCTATTTACGGAATTAGTTCTCTGTTTTCTTGAGAATTCTTTCCTCAATTTTGTTTTTACCAAATGTTATTTGTTACAACTTGTGTTTACTTCTATTTACGAAGTTAAGTTTTCTATTTTTTATGAACTCTTTCCCATTTATTTTTACCAAATGTTATAGTTGTTTTTCTTTAATATTTAATGGACAAATAATGCCCAAATTACAAGATAGATAGATATAATATAAACAACAATGATATGGGTATTCGATGCCCCCCAAGCGGTAACCCATCCTGAAGAACTGCACACGGCCCAATGATGCTGCACTTCGGTAATCAGACGCGAATTAATGTATCCAACGTACTACGTCCATTCACAAGTTTTATTTCATTATCACATTATAGTGTACGAATACGAGAGCAACCGTAGATACATCGGAACTTAATAAATACTGATAAAAACTGAATTCGTTCAATGGACCGGTACGCGATAATCGATTTGTCGACAGTACCTAAAAACATTTCGATCCTATCTCTAATACGAAACGATAATTCACTCCTTGACAGGGTTAGACGAAGAATATTAATTTATATTTGGATATCAAATGCAAATGTCTCTTGAAATATTCGTAAAATCTAACGCGCGTAAAGATAAATTCGTAAATTAACGTATGGATTTTCAATGCTAGAAGGTTCCATCGGCTCTGAGCTGGAAGAAATCCGATCCAGGGACGTGAAAACTTTTCGGGAAAGAAGTACGGTCTCCGGGGCTATTTACTTTGGGGATACCGCGCGAAAACTACTTGTTAATCTTCGACTTCGCGCAGAGATTCGCTTTTGCGTTCGTATGGGTTTCTTTGCCACCTTGTTGGCCGGTGAAAACGTTTTAAAAGAGCTCGGAATTACCGTAAAGCACGCTGCCGTGCGAATAATAAATCTTGTCGGACCGAAAACGTTAAACGCGTTAAAGAATTAGTTTTGTATTTTATTTCTTTTCTGACGTGATTTTCTAATTTTGTTGAGGAGTGAAAAAAAGAGCATCGGTTATGAGCCTTCTAGCCCGATCATCGTCGTGATCCTAATAGAGTCTCTAAGGAAGTTCGTGAAACGCGATGATTTTGCCCGTCTCTGAATCTGATAACGAACCGATTAAAGGAGCAGTCGCAAAAAATTTACGGACACGAAATACATTAATGGCCAGTTGTCACGGGGGATTTTAGCGTAGTCATGATGGATAGCCTGCAAAAATAAGAAACGAACGTGCAGGCGGTCTCGAGCATTTGAAACCGCTCCAAATAACGTCGCGACATTAAATTCTTGGATCGAAAGCACGCGATGGTGTTACCGGTGACCAAAAATCGCGTCTGGAAGGATTGTATCCTCGTTTCCCGCCCTCGTGCAACGCGTGCATCGCGTTGGCTGATCCGAAAACAATTGGTCACCGTTCAGAACTCAGATGCAACGTAATTAATTACTTTCTAATTGCTCTTGTAACTGATTGCAGAATGTAATTCTGCATCGACTGAACACCTTTGGAATAATATTATCGAAAATATTTCAAATATTGCCTTGTTTTACGATTATTTCGTTCTTGGGATGCAACCATGTTATCTTCGTGAGATAATTTTGAGAATAATAGTTGTGTTGAAACAATGAAATATTGCTAGATGTAACAGATGTGTGTCGAAGATTTAATGTTCCCTCGTGTCTCGGGAGACAAATTTACACGTCTCTTTGCCGCAGTGAAATATATATATTAAGATTCGAAGAAAACAAGAGGATAACAATACTTCGTTGGTATTTCGTGCTTGTAATTTCAAATTTTCTGACTGTTTACTTGAAAATGTGGATCATTTTATTTGCATTTATATTTTTATTGCAAACTTCTATTCTACTACGCTACAAGAAACGTAATCACTTCGTAATTAGTACCAAAAGTGTTGAACGTGTCTCTTACATTAATTATCTTGCCCGATTCCATGGTAATTATAATCGTTAATTACTGTCACGGTCGAAAGTCCCGCCACGAGCGACGAAACTTGCAATTCTATTATTTCGCGACTGTCACGGCTAGTTGGCTTTCCAATGTTGATTCTAGTTGGCAGCCATTATCATACACGCGACTCTCTTGGCAGCCATTATCATAGATTTTCAGCCAGTAAAACCGAACGGAAGTCTTCGCGAACGCAGTTCCGTCGGGGACGCGCGAGAAACACGAAATTACTCGAGCAACGATTCGAGGGTGGAAGCGGTGCCAGTTTTATTATGAAATCGTGAAACGCGACGAAGGACAGTTTCGAAACGTTTTTTTTCCCACCCTCCGCGCGAAAGAACGAGTGACTTTTTCGGGATCGGTGTTTGATATTGCAGTTCGATTGTTTGGTCATCCCAATTACATTCAACAATCCCGTTCGCGGCACGTGACCCATAACAGGATCGAAATCAGTGAAAAAATACGAACGTCGAAAACCTCTGCCATCTGTATCCTTTTTTTTTCCTCGCCGACGGAACGCATGGAAAGCAATTAAACTGAATAAATTCAATACGTGTTTAACCACCGTAAACAGTGCGACACGTTCCAGCAAACTATACAGGCCGACTCGGCCGACTGGAACAAGTCATATTTTTTTTTTTTTTTTTGACTGCGGGGAGAAAAAAGAAAAAAAAAAGAATAGAGGGAAAAATTGAATGCATCAGGGTGGAGCAATTCGACCGTATCGCAGTTTGCAGTTTATATTTATTTTGTTAACCCGATCCTAACGAAAACGCGCGCGAATATAAATCCCCGAGTATTTAAATCGTACGGTTGGACGAGGAAGAAAGACGGATTGCGCCACGTTTGAAAGAACATGGTTACACATGCGAGAAATATTATCGAACCGAAACAGTCCAGTTACGATATTAATCAACTGCTGCGTACCGATGCCAATCCCATAGGTATACTTGCCAAACATGAAAACGAAACACGCCTTTGTTTTTTAATAGAACGAGAACGATAGACGCAGTCGCAAGTTATTTTTAATGAACGTTTTCACGAAATGTATATATAAATTGAAGCGTGCTCGATTAGATACGATGTTGAATAATCGTAAGGAAATATTATGATGAGAATAATTATTACAAAAAAAATCCACTTTTAATAATATGAATATATTTTTTAAAATCGTCTGATTTTAATTTTCTAGCTAACTTTGATGAATGTATTAATTAGAATTTTAAATCGATTCACATTTGTATATGATTTCGTTATCATCGGCGGAATTGTACATGTGGTTTCAACGGATTCCGTTATTGACTGTTTATGCCTCGGATAGTTTCGCAAATAAGATAAGACAGTGACTTTCTAATGTGTTTGTAGATACAAATACGCACGCAAGTATAGTTGCCTGAAAAGCTGTCACAAAGTTATCCTCGCCACCCTCTGGAACTGTTCGTACCGTGTTAATTGTATCTCACTCCCGCCCGCTGTTTCTCATTCTCGATGTATACAAAGGCGAGCTGGAGAAATAACAACGATCGAACCTACGCTATCCGAGAAGTTGTCAAAGTACAACTTGTCAGTCTATATTGCCCTCCCCCACGACCGCAGGATTCTCCAAGTTATTCTTCTCGACAACGAAAAGTTACACGGGAAGAATTTTATCTTACGTTTTCGATTTATTTCCGCGTACAGAATCGCCCTATTTTCGATTCGTATATTTTTTAAATAATTATTAATAAATACCTCTTATGCATCTTCCTGTTTATAGTTTTCTAATCAAACGTTTACAAGAACTGAGGTTTCCTATTTAGTAACATTATAAAGTAACAAATTAATAGAAAATTATTATTTTAAACGTATTTTGATCAATTATTTCTTGAAAGTATCGAAGAAAAGAAGTTTAATTAAAAATAATTTAAAAAATTTCCATATAAATATTTAACTGTTATAAAAAGTTCTGGCTGTGGCCATTCGCTGTATTCCTGTTGGGCAATTTTCTGCGTAGGCCAACGAAAAAATTGGGTTGTAGAGGGTTAATGAACGATGACATCGTGAAATCCACTCGACGGCGGCCCGATTGGAAATTACTGACTCGAGTTAATTTAATTAAACCAACCTGGTGCACTCAGTTTTTGGTAATTTCGGTTGCTTAGCGATACACGGTGTCCCCCGATAGTTGTCAACACGTTCGGGGGCGTCCTACGTTTGTAGATTCCGCCGATCGATGGCACGGCTTCGTGTGTTCCGCGTTCAAAGGACAAATGTTCCCTAATGGTATCGATTAGCTTGAATACACTTTCGATTGTTTCGCTGACGAATCCCCGACGACTATCGGTAATCGGTTCTGAACTTCCTTCGCGAGGAACGACATGGCTCCGCCGGGAATCCAACGGAATCCGATAATTCACAAAGGAGCACCATCTACTTGGAAATTTCGTCGTTCCTGCGCGTCCTTCGCCAAACCCTCGTGCACTTCGACTTCGCGATTCACCTCGGAGACAGTTACTCTCCCTTTGAGGAAAACAAACCTAATTTCCGGCGCGCAGTTGCATTCGCGAAAATCGATCTCGTCGCCGAAATTTCAGACGTGAACCAACACCGACGTTCGAACCGCCATTTTGTATTCCATAAAACCGGGCTCGGTTCGCGTAGACCAAAACGAAACGAAAGAAAATTAACCGTACGC